ACCAACATGTTGTATTTCCTTCCATCCATTAATTTTTGCCATTTTAAAATTGACCAAGGCTGGTCAGAGGATGAACTCTTGGTTTCAGCCCTTTTGTTAGATCTGCTGTTCTTGCTGATTGCCAAAGCAGTTCCTGAAGGGGCAGACAGGAAGGTGCAGAATGGTGATGGTTCTGCTGCTCCCTTCCCTGTGCTCTCCTGTTTGCATCTCACTGACATTGGCAGGCATGGTGCAGGCAGCACCTGCTTTTGTGACTCTGCTGGAAGCTTCTTCTGTGGCCATCTATTTTTTGAAAACAAAACAGGTATTTTACTTTGAAAACTAAAGTGTAACTCTCCAAGGCTGGCTTTTTTTGAAGAATGGACTTAGACAGAAATGGTCTTTCTAAATTATAGGTTTAAAATTACCCTACCATTATACAACAGCTTGGCACTTCTCCAGAAAGCTGAAGACATTTGGAACCTTTTCCACTGAAATGATAATTGCCCAATGAAAACAGGATTTGGGGAAACATAAACTGACATCAAGCTACTCCTTTTTGCTATAAATTATATTGACTCTGCACTATTGCAAAATTACTTTTGATGATTTGACCATGGAAGAATGTAGTGAAAGACTCTTAATACCACACTCCCATATTGAGGGAAATTGCACTGCATCCACACAAATCTGAGCTGAGACTTTCCACTGACTTCAAAGAACTCTGCCTTTTGTGCTCAGAGTTGCACAGGCCACTATTAAAATATCTTTAAAGTCTTTAACAGCCAGGTGTTTTCTTTGTGTGCCAGGATGGAAGTCACTTTTTTCTTCAACCAAATTTTCAATATTTGGTTTGTTTCCTCCAAGCTGCTGTGAAGGCACTGAAGGACAGGAATTAAAAACTTCTCAGTCTGAAGCTGAAAAAGAAATAGATATTTGTGTGAAGTGTCAGTTTCCCCATAAAACTCCCTGTTTCAGGATATTGTGGAGTTTACTAGTGTACTGGAAATCATTTAGGAAGTTTTTAAGATCTAGATCAGCAAATGGGTGTGTGTGTGTGTAAATAGATAAACAGATGTACAGAGGTTTGGGAGAACAGGCTTAATGCCCAGTGGATCCTCTCTGTGAGCACTGAAGTGCCCAAGTGAAAAACCAAACTTTCCCATGGACTGTGAGTGATTTCTTTGTTGGGCTCAGTTTGCCTACCTACTTTATACTACAGCTAGAAAGGCTTATATTTTCCAGTGTGTAAGAGAGTAAAAGATGGATGTGAGTCAGAGAGCCTGTCCAGCTGGTAAAAGTGAACTGTCAGGGGCTGACAACATATGAATGGAGTTACCTTGGAGATGCCACAGAAGACCAACAACTAGACATTGAGGGTTTAATGAATGCCTGCCAAGCGAGGCAGAACGTGTGAAAACAGCGTGGCTGGTCCTTGAAACAAAGAGCTGAGGTGCTGGAGGAGCTCACAGAGGAGCAGGAATGGTGTAAGGCCACACCTGAAGTTGTCTGGGGACTCTGAGCCCAGAGGAGCTGTTTGGAAATAATTTTTCTGTGCATGTTGTTTGCAGTCACTCAGGAAAGCATTGGCAGGACCATGAGAAGGGGCAGGTTACAGTGTTGAATTGTGGCTGATAAGGGCATCAATAGACTGCTGCAAGCATTCACAGAGGAAAAAAAGTCCTTTAAATGACAAGAGTAAGGGATTTTGGTTTATATATCCCCAAACAGCCCAAATTACTGATAAGAGTAAATTTCCAGCCTTCTTCTGAACTGAATTCTCTGTCTAGTCCCTGCTTATAGCATAAACTTCCAAATGCATCTTAGATTGACTTCAGGTAAGTTTGAGATGCTTATGGATCAGTAAAGCAAAGGTTTTCTGTGTATATCTTCAGTAACAGGATGTCACTTTTAGTACCATTGTATCAGCTGAGACAGAGACTGATGTGCATATATATGTAGATTCTGTACATCTGTAGCTGCCACATTCTTTACTGAGACATGTATTTTATGATTACATCCAATGGGCAAAGGGCTCACTTCTAAACTGGAGCTCCCTTCCACCTTCTAAAAATGTGCATAAAGGCTTGGTTGGATTGAGATCTTCAGAGGCAGGATAACTCATGTGGAGGGAATGTGTGGGGCCAGAATTGTTGTTTGGGGTGGATTTTTCTCAATCATTTAGATGGATACCAAGAAGTTCACTCAAGCTCCTTCTCCTGAAATGGGTTCCTTGGACTGTGGTTGGTGGGCCAGCAGGTGTGCTTGATTGCTGCAGTTTTGAACCTAACCTGGAGGGTTTTGCTGGCCTTAAGGCCAGCACTGGGCTCAAGTGGTCTCCAAGAGACTGGTCTTTTCCACAGTGGCTCAGTGAATTAGCCCCTTTACACAGTGACTCTATGGTACACCTATTTCTGGTTTAAAAAACCTTGAAATGTGGGGTTTTTTAGCCTTTTTTTTATAATCACTTCCTCTCCCTCTACCTTGAGGGTGATTTTTTTCCTGCCCATAGTTGCAGTGTTGTCTTCAGGGAAGCCTGTGTTTTGTGCCTTTGGGAAATGTGGTGCAGTCTGCTCTGCTAGAATCTGTAGCATTTGTTAGGCCTTGCAGCCCAAGTTGCTGCTGACTCCTGTCAAGGAAAACTGCTCAGACTTACAATGAGGGGGTTGTTTCCTCTGTCAGGTATGGAAAGGGGCAGAGTGGGATTCCTTGGCTCCCATCCCCTGATCAGATCATACTCTGTGCTAGGTCAGGCAATGCTAGAGCTGGAACCCTTGTGTCATCAGGTTGCCATCTGACAATTCCACATTAAGTGCTGAAGCCATGGATGCTCGCTTTGTCACTGGCTTGGGTGGACATAAGGACTCCTATTACAGAAAGGTCTAGCAGGTCAGTCTGGCTTGCTGATGAGTGCCATCAAAGAAGTAGCATCAACACCAAAGTGATTTCCATGGAAGCTCAGGGAAAGGTTTGAAAAATATTTTGCCTTGTGAGGGGGTAATTGAAAAGGTTTGCATATAGCAGCCTGGAATGCCTAAAGTTATAGGTGCTGATTGTCTGTGCCAGCGGGAGGAAGAGTGTTTGCTGTATCCATTTCCTGAGTGGATGAGAGCATTCATGCCAGCAGGGAATTCAGCCCTGTGGGAGTGAGGCCAAAGGGTGTCTGCCTGTCTGGCCATCAGTATGCTGGAGACTTACTCAGAAAATGGGACTTGACAGATACGCTCTGCTGCACAACACCGAGCAGCGTTAATGGTGTTGCCAAATTTAACTTGCAGCCATCGTCCAAACTGTTTCTCATTAGCTGTCCCAGCTGTGTCGCTGCTGCTGACGGGAACTGGCCTTCACAACCTGCTCTGTAAACACTTTCCAGAGCTCAGCTTGGACAATGATTCTGACTCTGCTGCTGTGAGTCTCCTGGGTTGGATCTGGGTCTGTCCATAGGAAAGGATTACAAAACAGAAGGCTCATATCATCACGGTTTGTTTATGGCAGTTTTGGGAAATGCCAGAGCAGCACTACAGCTTGGATGTTTCCATTGAAGCCTGCAGATTCTCTGTAGAGAACCTGTCTGCTCTGTACTGCAGTAGCACTGATCTTAGTCCAGAAACTATTCGGGTATTTTTGGCTGCACTTTGGAGAAATTCATTCAGTCTAATGGCATTTCAAAGAGGAAAAACAAAAGTATCTAAGAGCCTGAGGTTTAAGAAGTTGGCTGTTGCACACTGGGTGGAATTCTGAATGGAAAAATAGTGTGGATTTCTGCTGTGCAGAGCTGCTTGTCCAGACCTATGGCGCTACCTCGTGTCAATTAAAACTGCAGGGTTGCTGCTACTAAACACTCACATTCAGTTGCATTTCATAGGTTCAAGTCTGCCTGTAAACCCAGGCAGAAATAAGCACTTATACTGAATTGGTTTGAATTATTTTCCATTAGCAATATTAGCTACCTATTTTGCAAGTGCTTTAGATAATTTTAATAATATGATAAAAAAGCCACACTCTAATAAGTCAGAAGGTTGTAAGACGATGAAATGAAAATTGGTTTAGGGTGAGTACAAGAGATTACCAGGCAACTGAACATGCCAGTATAGAGCACAGCTGAAGGAGGCTGTAGTGTGTTTTCTTGTAGCTGTCTCTTGAGCCCATAATTGTAGGAGGGGAACTCTAGAAGCAAAAGAAATACAAGAAGAATAAGCTTGAATGTTCTTCTGTCTCCTGGATCCCATGTGTGATTCACCCAAGCCTGTGCTGGAGAGGTGTTGCACACATCTGAAAGGAGTTTGCTAATACTCATCATCTAACCAAGACCGTGGTTGCAGCATGTGAGGGCACTGGGCTGCATCCTGACCCCTCCATGCTTGCCTGTGTGCTGTGGGCAGGCTGGCAGGGCTGGCAGGGAGAGTGCCTCCAGGTGTTGCCCGCTGCGCTTTGGTCAGCACGGCTGCCTGTGGGAGGTAGGGAGCTCAGTCTGTGAATCTCTTCAGCACAGCACTGTAAAATCTGATTTCTCCTGGCACTGAGTTGTTGTACACTTTGCATATTTGTTTGGCTGGTGGAAATCCTGACAGTAAGTGGGGCATCAGGCACTTAATATTGTTGTTGTCACTCAGGAGAGATTTGCTTACTAGTGGTGGCTTATTTACTTAATTAAATGCAAATGGTGGTTTTAGACGCTGAAATTGCTTGACCCTGTGTTTTGTGAAAATCCATTGATGCAACGATCTGTGTTTATGAAAAGCTGAAAGTGTGAGAAATATGGTAAATCTTGTAAGGAGCCTGGTTGGGAGGAGATGCTCTTGTCCTTCCTGCCAGGTTATCTGCATTGGGGTCAGGGTGGTGAATCATGGTAATGTGCAAGGAGCAGCAATATTCTCTCCTGTTCTCCATATGGAGATGGCCTGTGTGGGTCCCACGGGGAGGATGACTGCAGTGCTGTTGTTGGCCAGGTTGTGTTTGCATGAAGCACTGGGGGAAGGACCTGATGCAAAAGCCTTGACCAGCCCTGTGTCCCCTTGCAGAGATGCACTGGATGCTGCCAGCGTGCTCTACAATCAGGTTGATGAGGGCGTTCACCGCCTGGTGATGCTGTCAAACAAGCGCATCCAGGAGCTGGAGCTGGTGATGGAGTTCGAGAAAGTGGAAGAGTGTTTTAAGGAGGTAAGGCCCCTGCCTGTCAGTTCCAGTGGCTGCTGCCCTCTGACTGTGTTCCACAGCAGGTACTGGGCCTGTTGATCTGTTGTGTGAAGGTGTACAGTGATGCTTGATGCTTAAAAAGAACAACTGAACATAAAAATTTGAGGTAGAGTTTCAGCAGTGCTGACAATCAAGCCACTTATTTTTCCTGGTATCGCTTGATGCCAAGTGAAAGTCCCTTAGCTTCTCTCTAGGTGTGGATTAGTCAAACCCCATAAACATCTGTGAAGTGGCTCATATGTAAGCCATACACTTGGAGGCTGGGTGTCTTTTCTGACCCTCTCAGCAAGACTGTTGATGAAATAGTCTTCATACTTCACCTTGAGAAGCATCAGAGTGATGTCAACAAGCTGATAAGTCTGCATGTCCCCTTTGGGCTGTAGCTCCTGCAGGATCACCTTACATCCTGTTGCAGAATATCCCTGCCCCACACTGGCTGCCCATCCCTGTTGTGTACTCTGTTGTTTAGATTCCTGTGCTGTTCTCAAGTCCCTGATATCTGATAAGTCCAGGCACACTCCTTCCCCTCTGGGTGCAGACCAGGCCCACTCAGTTTGCCTTTGGGTGCAGCCCTCTCTGCAGGCTCCAGGAAGGGAGCAGCTTCTTGTCCTTAGCCCAAGAGCCATGCTTAGCCTCCCACCCTCTGAGCTTCTGTGGGACCTTCAACTTCCCTTCATTTAGTGCTTGTTGAAACTCTGGACAGCCATGGGATAACTGAAACAAACGGGCACTCAGAAAGACCTTTGAAACCTGTAGCCATGTTGATAAAGGACCTCAAAAAGTCATAAAGCAGCTCATATCTGAGCATCCTCCAAGAGCTGATCAGTCCTTTCAGTGTTGCAGATCCCAGATGTTCCATGTTGCAGATCCCTAAGCTTGAACTCAATGTTGAGATTATGGGGTTGAATGGTTTCCTGTGCTGTAACTCATCAACAATGAGAAGTTTGCGTGTCCTTAAAAATCATGATTAGGATCAGTTTCACTATTGCTGTTCTGGGATTCTGGGCTCTTCTCTTCTAGTGGGAACTGGATTTGCAAAGGAGGCTGCAGCCTACCGAGTGTTTTCACAGGCCAAGGTGGATCTGGGAGTTTAATGACTTCCCATTTGCAGGTAGACACTGGGGCGCCGTGCAGGATGTGCTCGGGACAAGAAGTCTGTTGCAAGAACCTGGTAGAGACTCCTGCTAAACTCACAGGTTCCTAATACCAAACACAAATGAAAAAAGGCACAAAAGCAAGCACTGCAACCTCTTTCTGCTTTAAGCTGAATTTTATTTTTTTATTGAATTGAGTAACAATCATCCGCTCCTGGGTTACTTTGCTTGTAGATCACCAGTGGTGGTAGGAGCTGCTCCTGCTGTTAAGCCTGCCTGGGAGCTCTAGGCAGCAGCAGTGTGCCTCTCTGCAGCTCTGAGAACCCATCATCTCTTCCTCTTGCCAGTTTGCTTGCTCCATGTAACCTTCTCACAGTCCACAAAACTAGGAGTTTGTCCTTGACTATGGGGTTGAGTTGGGATATGGATTCAGGTGACATAGGCAAACAGGATGTGTGGGCGTTAGGAAGCACTTAGTCTGTCCCTTCCCCCAGGTGCACCTATGCCTGGAGCATTGCAGACAAGTTTACCAGCCTGTTTTTAAAACCTAGTGATGATAGAGGTGCTGTGTTATCCTGCCTGGCCTCCTGTGACTGCTTTGCTCTTAGGATGCTCTTGTTAGTCAGGCCTCTACCCCTCTTTGAGGATATGGGCTGATAGCTGTAGCAGTAGCTGGGCTCCACTGAGGAACATGCAGTTGCTGCTCAGCTTCGTGGAGAGCTGCCTTCAGAAAACCATTAGCTGAGAGTCCCAGAGACCAGTGGAGCATTGCAGATGGGGAGAATCCATCAATACATTCACACTGACATGGTTCATGTCCTGCCAGTCAGAAAAGGGAAGTGATGTAGGAAATCTGGCAGCAGGGAGATTTGATCCCAGTTGGGGGTAACAAGAATAGGAATGTCAGGCCAGTCTGCAAGTTGCAGAGCTTGCTTTAGACCATGGCTCACCCAAAACAGAGCCCAGGCAGCCACTTGCCCTGTTTATGCCTAAGGCTAGTGAGCAATAGCAGAGCTTTTCAATTACTCTGTAACCTGAAGTGGAAAAACTCTGAGCAGGAGGCTCAGACTGAAATGCTGGATTGGGGGGGGAGAAGTCTACACTCATTCTTTCCAGTAATGAGATGACCAGCATTATGAGAGCAGTTCCTTGCTCTTTCCACATAAAGGCCTGCCTTGGTGAGTAGCACAGGGTGACTAACAAGCAGGGCTTATCCCTTTTCTTTTAGGTCAGCAGTTGGATTGAGAATGTTGGCAGAAAACGGCTAAAGGAAACTGTCAACCTGGATGATTCTTTGGAGATGCTGCTTCAAGCACAAAAGCAGTTCAAGGAGTTTGATCTTGTTGCCAGTGTAAGTGTTGTCAAATTGAAAAATTATATTCTCCAGCATCTGAGTTGGTAGCATGTGTGTCTTGTATGTGCTCAGCCAAACACATGGTGCTAAGAGGGTTCACCACCAAAGTGTGTGTCATTCCCTCTCACTGCATAGTCTCCCTGCTCTCCTTTTGCAGACAAAGCCACCAGCTCAACACTAAGTAGATGGCATTTACCAGTCTTGGGGAAAACAGCTACTGGGTTGAAAGCTGGATTTTTTTGTTCCTCCTTTCATGTGCGTGTAACACTGCCTTTTTCATGACTGAGCCATGGTCTTGCTATGTAGGCCTTACAAGCTGCTGTGTGACAAGTGTAAATCATGAGATCAGGCTTCAAAATTCTGCTGTAAACAAAGACACCCCTGCTCATGTGATTTGAACCTTGAAAACCGGTCTAGTTAGCCCTAGCTGTTAATGGCATTGAAGACTACTTAGTGTTGATTCCAGCTCTTTATCCTCATAAACAATTCCTTTTTGTTTTCAGGAATATTGCAGAAGGGGACAGGAAGCATTAAAGAAGATGAATCAATGGGAAGATCTTTCCTTTGTGGATGTGCATTCTTACAGGGTAAAGCTGCAGACCTACGAAGATGAGCTGGAGGATTTCTGCACCCAGCTGGATGAAACAAGGCACAGAGTCTGTGAAACAGTCAGGCTGTATGAATTCTTTGACAAGGTAAGACAAGGCATCTGCTGCACAGAGGAGGGTGTAAAAAGTCTGCTTGGACTCAGTCCAGTGCTAGATTGTTTATGAAAGGTGTGAAATGTAGTATTTGCTCCATCAGGGAGCTGGATCTATAACCTGCAGCAGTCCCCTCGTGCTCGTGTGTCTGCAGTGATTTTTTTCAAGTCAGTATGTGGGAGAAGGGGTGGCTGTGTCTCCCAGAAAATGTCCACATCTGTTAAGCGTAGAGGTTTTCTCCTCTCTGAGCTGGAGCTTTTTAACCCCTTTCATGGCAACAGTGGGCAGAAGGATTATGGCAGTGCTGGCTCTGATGACAAGGGCCAGGAGATGGGCTGATTGTGTCCAGTCCTGCCATCATGCCAGGGAAGGCTGCCTGCATTTTCCTGCTATATCCTTAGACACTGGCCAATTCAGCCTGTTAACTCATCAGGAGTAGCACTCTACTTGTCAGTCCTAAATACAGTCCAACTCCTCCCATGTGGAGGCCTGCATGAGGAAAGGGAGCACCAGAATGGGGAGCTGGGAAGTGCAGCTGAGGGAACAAGGCATCCCTGGATCATCACAGGGATGTGGGAAGCAGGAGGACAGCATGTGTGTGGTGACTGTGCTGAGTACCTGACCTTCCCACCTGTTTGGTTTAGTGCAAATGCACCCATTTAGCAGATCTGCAGTTGGATTTGGTGTTCTTTAATTCCTAAAGTTGCAGATGAAAAAGCAGTAGGATTTTCTAAGTGCATTTTAAAATACAACTTTGGCAAGAACAGAAAGCCAGGGAGCCTGTGTTCCATTTATTCCACACTTGTACAAACATTGGGTATTGAAGTTCTCAAATTCCAGAAAGAATAGACACTAAAAGTTAAGCTGTACCAGATGTAGGTGCCACTTAGTTGCTGTCTCTGAGCTGCCTTGGCAGCCAGAAGTGCTCAGGGGAGGAGGGAGGAAAATCAGCTAAACATGAAAACATGGAAAAGCATCCTGTGTGAGGCAGGAAAGTGGAGAAAGCAGCCCAGAGCACTGCTGTCAGGGCAATGAGGATTGAGTTTGTTTGGTGATGCTCTGCAGGTCTGCTCTGGCTCATCTCTGCAGTTTGCTGTGCAGGTGGAGGATCCTCTTGTGCTGTAGAAATATTTAATTTTTTTTTTCATCCCAATGGAGAGAGAATTGCCTCCTGTGCCATAGGAGAATGGCAAGAACCTGTGCTTTTCTGCCTCACTGATCAGAGATGTTCAGGGGCTGCTCTGGTACTTGAACACCCCTTGCCATCATGGGGGATCGTGGGAAGGATCCTGGGAAGGGTTTTCTCATGTTTTTTTGATAAATTGAGGCACACAAAAGCACCAAGCCTTGTTTGGCATACTGACAATTCTGCAGCCAAGCCAAACATTGGTTGTATGTGAACCCTTCCAGGCAGAGCTGGAAGTCTCTGGAGCACAAATGTGGACTGTAGCACATGATCACAGAACCAAACAATGGGTTGAGCTTGAAGGGATTTTAAAGGAATCATCCAGTTCCAACTTCCCTGCTACAGGCAGGGATGCCACCCACTAGACCAGGTTGCTACCAGCCCCCATCCTGGCCTTGAACACTTACAGGAACAGGACAGCCACAGCTTCTCTGCACAGCCTGTGCCAGGGCCTCACCACCCTCACAGGGCAGAATTTATTCCTGATATCCAATCTAACCCTGCCCCCTGTCAGTTTGAAGCCATTCTCTCTTGTCCTGTCACTCCATGCCCTTGTCCAAAGTCCCTCTCCAGTTGTCTTGGAGCTTCTTCAGGTTCTCCAAGGTGTTCTGAGGACTCCCCAAAGCTTCCAGGCTGCTCAGTGCTCTGTTCTGGCATGGAAGTTACATTGTGCTGGTGGCTCTTGGGCTGCCAGGATAGTGGGACATGACTCTATAGCAGTGTGTTCCTCCACAGCTTCAAAGCCTTTTCAGAGCCTGGCTCATTTCTAGAAACACAAATGCTACATAGACCCCAACAGTGGCCCATTAATTTTCTGAGGGCATTGCAGCTTTTTTGGTGGATGAAAACTCCAGGATGCAGTCCTTGGCAGCAGCAGCAGCCCTCTTGGTTGTGCCTTTCATGCTGCATGGCCCCAGTGCAAACAAAATGATAGTGGCATAGTGTGTTTTCACACTGCTTTGTGTGGAGGAGAGGCAGCTGGCTCAGGGAGGGAGGAGGATTTTGATCTCACTGGTTTCAGTAGAGTTATAAACAATTCTGGTGGTGTAAATATACTGTGTGTGTATTGTGAACCAGTGGCCAACTGAAACAAGGAGTGGAGGGGAATACATCCTGCAGCTGTAGGATCAGTGCAGAAATTGCTGCACAGCATGAAAGTTCTTTCAGTGCCTGAGTTTGATCTTGATCTCCAGAATGCTTTCTGCCTTCCCAAAGCAAAGTTAGTGGTGTGGTCTGGGAGGTGGGGGATAAGCAGAAGATCTTATCTAAACTGATTTCACTCTCTTCTGATACTGAGCTGCTTTTGACCGTCCTGCATTGATCTTGTCAGTGCCTGCCTAACTCCCTTGTCTCTGCCCTAATATCTGAGGGCATTTCTACAGCAGGAGTCTACAACAAGCCATGTCCTTGATATTCCTTCTCGTAAAGAGCCTGCCGAGTGCCAAACCCCAGGATTTGGGGAAGAAGCCCAAGGATGCGTAAGCAATGTACACTATGGAAATGAGCTGGCAAGCTCAGCTCTCCAAACATCTCAGCCTGTGCCAAAGGAGTGGAGCACCCACCAAGGGGATCCTGGTGTTCATCCCTCACATATCTCTCTGCCTGCTGGGAATGGCAGGCCTGTTGTGCTGGCCCTCCTGCCTGTGGTGGGCAGGTGTTCTGTAGGGCTGTGGGTGCTGGACAGGCCGTGGGACAGGACAGCATAACCCCATATGCCCCATCAGGATGCTGTACTGGTTTTTTTCACTGCTTGGCAGTTCCTAAAGGCCTGTCAGAGCTCCTTGCAATGAGGCAGCCTGAGCTGGGCCAGACCACATGGAGCTTGCACATGGGCTGGCAGGGTTCCCTCCCCAAAGACATGACTGGTGCCAAGCTGGATGTTTCCATTTGTCCCCGCTTCCTTTGTGGCAGGAGCCCTTGGTGCCTGACAGGGGGGTGGATGATGGTTGGGCTGAGGCAGGAGAACAGTGAAGGAAGCTGCTTTCCCCACCCCTGACTGTGGGCTGGAGGATTGTTTTTCAGTCCCACAAAGTCAGTGTGGGTATATTCGGGGTCCTGCCATCTCCCCGTGGCTTCAAGCCTGGTTTGGCCACTGTCCCTTGTTTACTCAGTTCCAAGACTCTGCTGGGATCTGGCACCATACAGTGCTTTGGGGAAAAACTGAGCAGCTGAACAAGCAAGGGCATGGATGGTGCACCAAAAGCATTGATGTCTATTTTGTTCTGGGATTCCTGCAGGACAGTCCCCAGTATCCAGTAACACTGCCATACGTACACTAGGAGCAGCCCCAGCAAGTCTTCCTCTCCTTGTTTATCTCATTAGCCTTCATATTTTTTCCTTCCTCAAGCTCTCTGGGTGAATTATTTCCCAGAACACTCTTATATCCCATGTTGTTGACTTTACCATAAGTGAAGTGCAGGTTACCTGGACTGCGTGTTTGAAATGTGCCCTGTCAGAACAGAGCACCTTACTTGCAGCAGCATGTCCAGTGAGCCAGAGCACACAGGACAGTCTCTACCAGGTCTGGGATGACAGCCAGTCCTGCTGAAGGCCAGGAGTGAAGGTGCATGATCCTTGCTGGTACAAGTGGAAGAAAACACTGACCCAACCAGAAGGAGCAGTGTCCCATCAGCACCTGCATACCCTGTGGCTGTGTGGTGATGTGGTGCCCAGAGCTGAACTGCCTGTATCATTACAGGAGGGCCTGAGGCAGCTCCGGGGGCTTTTTCCTGCTTCTCAGGATGTTGTGCAAGATGGTGCCTCACTGGTGCTCAGGGAAAGTGTGGTCATTGCCCTGCCACAGCTTGTAGGTGTCTTGCAGCTTGAGCCCTTGCCTTAGGTTTGCTTTCTGCGGGAAGTTGTTCAGCTTGAGTTCTCACTGCTGAGGATTGTTGGGGCAAGGTGGGTTGAGAAATGGTAGGGTTTCCCATTTCTTGGGATTTCTTAGGTCTCTGTTCCACAAGTGATTCCTTCAGTGGTGTTCTCTGTTTCCCTTGGATCTTTTCCCTCAAAGGACCCCTGACCATCAGCCTCTGCTGATTCTTATTCCTCAGTTGTCTTTTTTTTTTGCTGCACTCAAGGAGCTGCTGCTTCTGACTTCTGCTTGGAGTGGGCAGAATATTGCCCAGCCCCTCTCCATCTGTGTTTACATCTCCAGGAATGGGTTACCTGTGCTTCTGGAAGGACCTGCCCCCACAGTGGGTTCTCCTGTGCTCTCCTCCTCAGCTACTTTGTTCTTTGTGGCTTAGAAAACAAAGCCTTTGGCAAGTGAAGGAGGTGCCTGCCCTTCCTGGGGGAGGGCCAGCTGGCCTGCATTTGATTATGGCAGTGCCTCCTCATCCCTCCCCATTGTCCTTGCTGCTGTAGGAATGCCAGCCTTTTCTCGCTCCATCCCGTGAGCAAGTGTTGCTGCTCTGGGGCCCGAAGAGGGGCCGGGGCCCTTCTTCCCATCGCTCTTCTCTCTCACATCTCCATGCACCTTTCCCTGCAAGTCCCAGTCGCCCCATCCCGGCTCGGGCAGCAGCAGACGGACACAGCAAACCCTCCTGTAAGTACCAAGTGCCGGCTGACGTGTGAGCTCTGCTGATGTTGTTTGAAACAATGTAGAGAAGGCTTTTCACTCGGTTGCTTGTGCTTGTCTGTGCGTCCAGGGTGAATCAGAGCGCTTTGTGTGCGGCTTTTGTGCGCTCAGACAGAGCCCCGTGGGCTGTGGGCATCTTTGCCTGGTCCCCCTGAATCCCAGGGCTGTGCTGTCTGTAGCAGAGCAGACTTTCTCTTTATTAGAACTCCCTCTTTCTCTTTATTAGAA